AAAATTGTGAACCTATTATCGAGTGATATCTATCGCTTTGACTTATGTGTCAATTATCTCCATTCCCTCATCACTGCCCCAATTCAGATGGTCTGCATTATTGTTGTACTTTGGTATCAGATAGGAGTGTCATGTTTGGTGAGCGTAGCCTATATGGCATGCTATACACCATTCCAGCTATTTATGGGACACATGTTCAAGAAGTTTCGCACAAAGTCTTCGCTATTGACTGACAATAGACTGAAACTAATGAATGAAATAATACCTGCGATGCGAGTCATTAAGATGTATGTCTGGGAGAAGCCGTTTGCGAAGTTAGTATCGATGGCCAGAGTTAAGGAAATATCAGCCATTCATAAGACAATGATTTTAAAGAGTATTAACTTATCCCTATATTTCACATCATCAAAAATAATGACATTTTTATGTTTAATTGTATTCATACTAACCGGCGGTGAATTAAATGCTGAGAATGTGTTTGTATCCATGGTTTGTATCAATCAATTACAAAATGCAATGACAAATTGCTTTCCATATGCTATATCATACGGAGCCGAAGCACTGATTTCTGTTAATAGGATTCAGGTAATTACTGGTACATCTAAAAATGTAGCTTAGTTTGTTTATTAATATTGATTTTCTTATAAAATAATTCAGGAATTCCTAACATCAGAAGAATATGAACATAAGAATCACAATAAAATAGAGGTTAGAGTTGTTGTCATTTAAATTAAACTTTTGACGAATTAATAAATAAATAATCTATATAAAAAGGCTCATTTTAAATATCTATTGTAATTAATAACTTATAGAATGGAAATAAAGACAATTTATTGAAGGGATCCGATGAAGAAATAAAAGCAAACATTTCATTGAATAATGTTTGCGTGGATTCAGAGAAAGGAATTAAAATCTTAAACAACATTTCATTTGATGTAAATCCGGGAGAACTGACTGTTATTATCGGTTCCGTGGGTTCGGGAAAGACAGCGGTTTTGATGTCAATACTATATGAGAGGGTAAAACTTCATCAAAGATTATATGGACTTACCTCCGATCGGGTGCCGGAATACTTTTGTTACCTCTACTTCTGGTGTCTAATGTGTTGACACAATCGGTATACACTGGAAGTGATTACTGGCTCTCAATGTGGACTAACTTTCATGAAAACAAGATTTTATACAAAGACTCGAATGAAACGATTGACAAGAATTGGATGATTGATGACAACGAGAACCAGAATATCATTACTTATAGCTGTCTTGTGGCCATTGTTTTTGTGTTTTGTATTTTACGGACCATTACTTTCTTCTCGGTTTGTATGCGATCTTCAGTGAAATTGCATAACAAATCACTGGAGTGAACCAGAATATCATTATTTATAGCTGTCTTGTGGCCATTGTTTTCGTGTTTTGTATTTTACGGACCATTACTTTCTTCTCGGTTTGTATGCGATCTTCAGTGAAATTGCATAACAAATCACTGGAGTCTGTGATGAGAGCACCGGTAGCTTTCTTTGACAAATACCCCATTGGAATGATTCTAAATCGGGTTTCTCGAGATTTGGGTATTAATATAATTTAAATGATATAACATTTGTTAATATTTATTTCATCGTATGACAGGAATTATCGATGATTTACTTCCGCCGACAGCTTTCGATGCCATTCAGATACTGATGAACTGTATGGCAACACTAGTCTTAGCCATTCTCGTCGACTATTGGATCACAATCCCAGCGATTGTTTTAATAATTGTTATTATAATTGTCAGACAATTCAGTTTAGGGACCATTCGTAACCTCAAGAGAATTGAGGGAACGGCTAGAAGTCCACTCTTCAGTCATTTAACATCTACTCTGAACGGATTGACTACAATCAGATCATTTGGTTCTGAAAATGCTTTTTCCAAGAAGTTTGATATCCTACACGATAGTCATACATCTACTTATTTTATGATGTTAAGTTGTACTAGATGGTTTGGCATTGTATTGGATGAGTTGTGTATGTTGTATACGATAGCCCTTACAATTACACTCGTATCCAATCTTGACATTCAAAATGGGAGTGCAATAGGACTGACACTTTCACAGGCGTTCACTATTACAACTAATTTCCAATTAGGGGTCCGAAGGGGTGCTGAAGTGGAGACTCACATGACTTCCGTGGAGAGGGTGCACGAGTTGACCAAAATTGACACCGAATTGGAAATGGATGTCAAACCACCGAAAGGTAAGAGAAATAATTACTTATATATAACTGTTAGAAGTTTGATATCTTACACGATAGTCATACATCTACTTATTTTATGATGTTAAGTTGTACTAGATGGTTTGGCATTGTATTGGATGAGTTGTGTATGTTGTATACGATAGCCCTTACGATTACACTCGTATCCAATCTTGACATTCAAAATGGGAGTGCAATAGGACTGACACTTTCGCAGGCGTTCACTATTACAACTAATTTCCAATTAGGGGTCCGAAGGGGTGCTGAAGTCGAGACTTATATGACTTCCGTGGAGAGGGTGCACGAGTTGACCAAAATTGACACCGAATTGGAAATGGATGTCAAACCACCGAAAGGTAAGAGAAATAATTAGTTATATATAACTGTTTTTTTAACTCAAATTTATCGAAAGAGTGGCCAAAATGGGGACAAATAGTGATGAAAGACGTGAGCCTTCAGTACGAAGGAAGCGATTCTCGAGTTCTTCATAACTTAAATCTTGTCATAAAAGGCGGACAAACCATAGGAATAGTCGGCCGAACCGGTGCCGGAAAGTCATCCATAATCGCCACTCTATTCCGTATGACTCAGCCCTCGGGTCTCATC